ATCTGAAGACACTATTGTATTATACACATTGGAAAGACACATCCATAGTAACAAAAATCAATTTCATGCAAATATTACCAAAACAATAATGATGCAAGAGAGAAATAGTAAGGATGCATACTTAAAGAACGAAATCATGTGAAATCTGGAAGTTTTTCCAGCATTCGTGGTCTTTCAGGATGCTCTTTTTAATCTTTTCAGATATCATTAGGGTCTTAATCTCTTCAGATATTGTTAAGAAATGGCCTGAGCAAGAGAAGTATATAAACAAAATAATCAACCTAAAAGCTGTATCACTGTACAGCTGTAGTTCCATCCAGCTTTGCACAGCTTCGCAATGTAATTTCCTATTAACCCTCAAAAACAAAATCTTTTTTGAAGGACAGAACACGTAACAAAGTGCAAGTAGACCTTGTCATATCTCTGGTTGTCATACCAGAGATAACACTACAATGTGAGACATGCCCTGTTACCTGGGAACGCACGCCCAGTGGCCACACAGCACAACTAGACCATATTTTGTGTGTTCGCTGTTTCGAACCCACTTTCAACACAAAATTTAAGAAATGTTTCCATTTATAATTTAATCTTGACCATAACTGAAAATTTGTTTCAAACAATCAGCATATTAGTCACAAGCCATGATATTATACTCTTTTAGTTTGTGCTCCTGGGGCTGCACACAGACTGACTTAACCACCCAAGTCCTTCCAGCAGACACCTCCTGCACGATGGCACACAGCTGCCAGAAATCACCACCTCGTCAAAGCCATCTTTGAGCTATCTTTTCTTTTGGGTGGGTTTTTTTTTAATCTAAACTTATGCAGTGTAATTATTATCATTGTGGAAGTAACTGTCATTCCATCTTATAAGCCATTAGGCTACTTATAAGGTATTAAGTAGCCTAATGGTTCCCTACCTATTCATACTTAGGACATATGCAGAAGGACTGTGTACTCTCCAGTTCTGGAACTCTACATAGGTCAGGATCAGATTTCACCTGTACCTTTCGAGTTAAGATGGAAGTCCTGTGGTGCAACAGCAGGTTTGGGGATGAAACCTCCATCTTTTGGAGAAAGCATTAGACGGAGTCTAAGAGGATTCAAATTTAACTAATATTTCTATAAGCAAACTCTCACATATCAATGGGGAAATAATTTCATCTTCCACATTACAGTTCTATCTGTACAACAGAACAAGAAAAAAAAAGGCATTCTCTTTTTTTAGACCATGAGTTCCTTCAGCCACACTGCTTCATAGAAGCTCATCAAATTTCCTGCTGCTAGGAGGAGACTCAGTGTCAGCTGAGATATCTGGATAACAGTGTAGCCTATACATTGATTATGCTGTTGTACTTGGACTTTCCAGCTCAATATTTCTTAAGACTGTTCACAAGAAGAGTACATCCCAGGCACCTGTAAAGCTTCTACACAACTGAAGTTCTCTGTTGGGACCTACTCAGTTTCGTAAATGCACAACCACTGAAGCCTGAGATCTTCTATGAGAGAGATGAGGAAACACAAACATGTTTCTGGCACTTAATAGTCCCATGCTTTACTGATAAGGCAATTCCCTAGCAGAGTATTTGCGTTCTTACATGCCTTATATTGGCAAAGGAAGAAAAGAAAGCACATCCTGGAGTCGGGAAGTAGAGGGGAGGAGAATACAGAGAAAAATAAAAGTTCATAAATTTGCAATACTCTACTGCTTTTCCTCCCTAACACAAAAGGGGAGTGAGGAAGGAATACAATTTAAAGCTTCAGAAGACAGCTGCATGAGCAGAACAATATACCAAGGGCTCCATTGCCTGCTACAAATAACTCAGCAATCATCAGCTATTAAACCATAATGAGGAAAGTATGAAAAAGGGTCTCAAATATGCCTCATTTGGCCTGCTGTAGTTCTAGTCTCATCCATCAAACGAGAAACACATTTTCATCACTATGCCCAAACAATAACTGTTGTTTATTCAGTGAAAACACTGTTTAAATGTTACAATATCATCTTCACTGTATCCTTCCTACCACCTCTGTGGACCTCATCTCCTTTCCTACTCAGTGAGTATTGGTCATCTCTTTTCTTCTACATAATGTCTCATAATCATTGTGGCATGAGACATGTTGCCCTGATTTTTATTTTCCAGGAGCTCTGGCGTACCAAAGTTTTGCAATTATTTTTCATCTTAACTGAATGCTTAATTCTCTCCCTCTTCACTTCTATTTTAACTCACAACTGCTTTTATTTCCCTCTTAGCACTCTACCTGGATGTGGAAGAATCATCTCAAATAGAGGAAAAAAAAGGGGAAAAAAAAGTAATGCACCAAGTAGCATGTTAGGTTATTTTGTGTGCTCAATTTATGTGTTGGCCTGTTTTTGATACTGCAAAAGGGAAAAGGGGAAAAAGAGGTTAGGTGAAGTTTGCCCGTGCTTGGTCAGAAAAGTGCCGTCTGATCTGGGAGACACAGAGAATAACTTACGTGGCAGCCTAGGGCAACAGAACTTCCGAATGAAATTATAGAAAGTGAAAGTTATCACAGTTGCTTACAATCCCACTTCAGACAACTATATTAACGAGACTTCGAGGCACACAGTAGAACAAATTCAAATAATGGTGATTTCAGAATGCCAGGTCCATGTAGAAACATAAAGGCAACTTCAAAAAACACATGGGGAGGTGTGTTTATTTAGAGAGGGAGGGGGAGCTTGGGGTTTGGTTGTTTGTTTTTTAACCACTTTCCTGCAGCTAACACACAATGCTTTGCTTAGGATCTCTGAGCAGTTTGGTAAGTTACAAAGTCTCACAAAGACAGAAGCATTGTTATTGGTAATACTTACAGCTAATACAATACCATCAGGTAGCAAACACTTTTTCCTCTCTAATAGACAACAGATATTGCAATCTAAACTAGAAGGTCACACCAAGTGATGAACCGAACAGACTCTTATACAAGTTATTCCTCGACACACATGTCTTTTTCTGACCCCGATATCAGAATAATTTAGAAGGTTGTACAAAATGAAAAGGTAATTCCAAATCAGCATGTGGAACAAAGATAAAAGGAGGCTCACTTAAGTGACTAGTAAAGCTGTTTCCACCTAGCAATCTTTCACATCTCTTAAAAGTCTCATTTCTCTACTTCAGATGTGAAACAGAAAACTGATTTATTCTTACACTTTAAGAATTTTTAGTCTGCTTCCTAGATCATTTTGAGTGATTCAATCCTTACTGACAAGTTTCAAGTGCCTATTTCATTCAAAACAATTAAATGAACCTAAAACCAACTTGGCTCATTAGAAAAAAATAAAAGAAATTTTGCAAGTTTCAACCTAGAGCAACTCCGGAAAAGTTATGAACCTCTCTTTTAATGTGTAGGTTGAAATGCTGATGTAGTGTGATGGAGTAGCACAAAACCAAAGAGTGTATCTGCATGGAACTGTGATACTGTTCTCAAATACCTGAACTAGTTCCAGAACTGAAATCAGTAATAAGAGCTTCAGCAAAGTGAGTCTCATGAGAATCACCCCAAATTGAGCACTAAACCAACCTATTTCTGCCTTGAGTTTCCCTGATACACAATAGCACTGCAGTTATGTAGGTATGCACAGAGTACCCCAACCGCAGGGACCAGTAACAGCACAATGAGATTCTACTCCAAGGCAAATTAGATCACTCATTCCTTTGCTTAAAGAGTTCATTTCTCTTTAGTGCTAAGATATGCTTTGAAACACAGTGGGACCCCTCCTCTTATTGCTAGGCTAAACAAGCCAAGCTCTTTTAGTCTGGTCCCTGCAAGACAGGTTTTCCATTTACTATTAGCCAGCAGTGTTTCTCTGCTCTTGTTCCATTTTGACTTATCAGAGACAGCAAAATTATGATGGAACAAGTAGCACAAATCAATCCATTCCATTTCTGACTGGTCCTTGTACAAGAAAGGCACAATTAATTATGCACACTTTTAAAAGAGTTATTACCAAATAGCCTCTTGGGTCTAGAAAGCAATGGCTGAAGAGTTTCACTTGACAAATACTCTCTTGAACACATTCCAAATGCTTACTTCTTTTCATTCATCTCCTCTTTAGTGATTAAATGAAGTCATATTGACTTTATTCCATCCTAATTATTTTTATTTGACACAATAACACCAAATCACTTTGCCCCATAGCTTCCTGGAACATGAAACATTTACAGCCAGTTTAAATGGGTGTAGTCTTCAATGGAGCAGCTGCTTCACAGGTTAAAAGATTTTCATTTTATGTGGGAAATACTACCAATGCTACGTTATTTCAGAACAGAAGCCGACATTCAAACCATCTCCCAACATAAGAACAGCACTCCTTCCTGTGTTGGGAAACGAGCACAAAATGCGGATGCTCACAGAGATCCGGGAGCAGAACAGTTTGGCAGTGGGTGAAATGAGGCTCCAGTCTGTCACAGGGTAGCTGGCCACTGCTTGCCACCACTGATACCGTGCAACGGGACAGGGGAGGAGACTGCAGCTCACTTCCCTCCGGCCGGCGCTGCTTTCACAGAAGCCACACCTCAGGGCACCGGAGGGATGCTCCCTATGCCCAAGAGAGCTCCGCAGCTCTCCCTCCTCCGGGGGTACCCGGAGAGGCAGCGTCCTACAACATCGACCTGTAACCCCCCACTGCTGCCCCCTCTCCAGCCGAGAAGGCGGACACGGAGCCATTGCGATGCCCTCCCCCCAGCCCGGCCCAGCCTGGGGCCGCTCGCCACAGTCCCCGGGAGGGCCGGGCCGGGCCGCAGCCACCCCGGCCCCGCCGCGCCCTCCCCGGGCCGGGCCGCAGCACACCCGGGGGAGGGCGCTTCCCGTCCCGCTCCTCACCCAGGTACTCAGGTCCGGGCAGCGAGAGCCGCTCGGGGCTCAGCATCCTCCTACTCCTGCTCCTGCTCCTGCTCCTCCCGCCGCCGCTCCTTCCCAGCTTCCGCCCGTTTCCAAGGCGCCCGACGCTCCCGGCGCTGCTCGGCCGCTCGCCCCGGCTGGGAACACGCCCCTCGCCGCCACCGTTCCGGGCCAAATCCGCCCCCGCCCGGCCTCAGCCCCCTCCCGCCGCCCCCGGGCTGTCTGTGCGGCCACAGGGGCTGGGGCAGGGGTGGGAGCCCCGAGAGACCTCGTGGGAAGGGTCTCTGGGAGGAGCATGGTGACATGGCCTTGGGGAAGGGGCTGTGGCGAGCACGGCGGCCAGGCTGTGAGGAGGAGGCGGTGGGCGATGCCGGGGCAGCTGCTCCAGGGCCGAGGGGCACCTCAGAGGGAGAAGAGTGAGTCAAGCTGAAGAGCCGAAATGGCAAGAGGAGTGTAAACTCATTCCGGTTAGATTTAGGTTGGAAATCAGAAGGTGTCAACTGCCAGTGGCTATTAGCACTACAGCTCTGGGGGAAAGACCTTAATTTGAAGGTGAATTGTAATAACCTCAAATCACAGAATCACAGAATATGCTGAGTTGGAAGGGACTCATCAGGATCATCGAGTCCAACTCCTGGCCCTGCACAGGACACCTCATGTGCTTGAGAGTGTTGTCCAAACGTTTCTAGAACTCAGCTGGGCTTGGTGCTGTGACCACTTCTCTGGGTTAACAAAGTAATGAAGTTCGCTGTTTAGCAACCTTGTCTCAGAGTGCAGGGACCGACAGGGTGACCAAGGAGATCCTTTACAGTTGTATCCTTCTGTCCATACCACTCCTGTGCTGGAATTTTTGCAACCCTTGTGCTCAGGAGAGGGACTTAAGGGGAACAACAAGAATTGTCCCTGCTGTACAAGCAAGTAAAAACGAGCAGCAAAGTCCTGAGCCACAGGGTTCTTTTTGTTTTTGTCTGAAAGCTTGTCTGGGAATGGCCTTTGTCCCAGGAATGTAGGAGAGGCAGAGCTCTTCACATGGCTGGAAGCAAGCCTGCTGGACTCCTCTTTCTCAGAAGTGGATGGGGCTAAAATTCCCAAATTACTTTGCAGTTTCTTCCATCACCATTAGAAAAATACCAGTCCAAGATGTAATCCTGGGAATTAAAAAAAAAAAAAAAGGGGGGGTACTGGAAGTGTTGTCTATGTTTTTAATGACAAATGCAAAGGAACAGAAATTAAATTAACCACCTGTACAAGCGTATAACCTGCCTTTATTCCACTGGAGGAAAGAGCTGAAGGTGACTATTGGCTGCTCAACTTTAATCTATACTCAAAGAAACCACAGTTAAAAAGGGCAAACAGGATGTTATAACTTAACTATTAATATCCCCCACAAAATTATCTGGACCACTTCTCTTTGTTCTGTCTTTTAAAAGCATATGGCTTAGATATACATATTTCAAGGATGGGCAGAGAGAATAATTTAGGGAGTAGACAATGAGACACTCCAGCATGAAGAATAACTGGAAAAATGTAAGACTGTCTTAAAGAGGCTAAGCATAACATATGAAATGATGCTATCTAAAATTATTTTTGCTACAATGAAACTCATTCAGAATTCCAATGTGTTCAGTTTTGCAGTTTGTGATAGGCTATAAATTTAAAGATAGGATTTTTAAAATAATAGATACAATTAGATCATAGAATATATTGACACAAGATATTTTTGAGGCCAGGAATTCAGCAGAATTTAGAAAGGAAGTAGATATATTCAAGCAGAATGAGAAAACAAAGTATTATGTTATTGCACATAAAAGGATAGGGAAAAAAAGAACACATCTATAGGTACACAAAGTATCCTACTTCATGATGAAGCCAATTATCTGACTAGTGGGGTTTTTGAAAATATTTTTCCTAACATGATATCTATCCTATAACTGCTCAGTTTAGGGTTTCTAGAGCTTTCCAGTGAGGTATCTGGTTCTAGGCCACTGTTGGAGATGAGAAATGGAATTTGATAGATTTCTTGTGATCACTAGATTCAAGAGTACAATTCCTACACTAGCATCAAGATCTCTCTTTTCACAAGCAGTCATTTATCATTGTCCAGGCAGTTTCAGTGGTGTTCAAAAGCCAAATCTAAAAACCTTTTCCATAATGCTGGTCAGCTCAGCTGGTAGGAGCCTTCCATAGATTGTGTTTCTTTTTTGTTGTTTAAACCATTTCTGTAAACCACAATTTATCCTTGATCAGTATCCGGAGCACTGATTTACAAGAGGCCTTTAAAGTCCAGTTTTAAATACTACATTCTAATAGCCCTCCAGTTCCTGGTTTTTTTTTTTTTCACTTGTTACTCTTTGGTCTCTAAGGGTTAGACTTTGCTATTTCCTTCAGACAGCTAAGGGAAACCTTTTGGACACTGATCCCATTTGTGGTTTTAATAACGATACGTTTCAGTAGTAGTGGCGCCTGACTGTTAACGACTCAAAGAAAACTATATAAAAACAAGATGTCATTTCTGGAGCCATTTATAGACTTCCCTGTTTACTATTATTTCTCTCTGGGCTTGCCAGAGCCAGGATTAGGTGATATAACAGATCAGCTGCAGCACTCACCTGCTCTCTCACACTCATCACCTGAAAAGGGAGAAATGCTGCCAGCCTGGCCATAGGTATTAAGTTTGTTATCCCATCTTGACTTTAGAACCCTAGACCAGTGCATTTTAATAAATTGAGAAGGCTTTTCTGGGTCACTGGAAACCACCTGCAAGTTTAATATCTGCCCCCAGAGGAGCACATCTAACAAGGGCTTAATGTTCTTTTGGACCCAGCTGGAGGAATGACAGTGCAAAAAGGTATTTTTCTCTGTCACAACTCCCTAGCAGATTATCAGTGGTATAGGTCTCACTTTAGGGGAAGCCTATGGAGCACACTTTTGTCATCTACCCTTACATGTCTTAAATTGCTGGATTTTGTCTACCAGGGACAAGAGTGGCCGAGTCAGTCATTCAGTGAGGATCAGTTGGACCACATTGATACATTTTGTGCACGCTCTCTTTCACAGTTAATGTGACCTTGATTTGATTTGGCTTAATTCACTTTGTGGTTTAAGTAGCCTTTTAGAAATCATACTTTAAGTACATTGGGCTAACTTAGTTATGTAAGAATTCATGTGACCACAAGTTTGAAAATAGTCAGTGGTGTAGTTTAAATTATATAATGAAAGAAAATGTCTTGACTATGTTAAGGTGCATGGACTGAAGAACTCCTTTCTGTGTCAGTTTTATAAGTGTTTCTCAGCAACTTAGCTTACATTGGATTTCTGTTTTCCTCCAGTCCCGCATACTTTGCCCCCACTATGTTAATTGCTTAGCTTACTCTTCACTGTTTTTATGTTCATCTTCTTAAGTGATACTATCAATGCTGAATTGAAATATTTTCTTTTTATTGGACAAAGTTCTGCTGAGAAACAGCTCCCCTTTCAGAGAGAGTATTATATAGAATAATAAACAGGACTAGATATCAAGCAAAAAATTCCAAAGGAAATGCCTAGTTTTAAACAGATTGAGTCATTTTGTCTGGCTTCTATTAATTTTCTTGGAATGAAATGTTTCATTTGCTTAGAATTTTAACAATATTGCTAAAGTAATTACAATAAAGGCTAGACATATTAGAGGAAACAAACTTCCTTTTTTTTTTTTTTCAGGTGACAGTTGGAAATGCTGTTGCTTTAAGCATTACGACTACAACGTATAAAGAACTAGGCCGTGGGCAGTCTTCAGTACTGTTCCATCTAACTTCTATGAAATCAATGTAAGATGAATTTTCATTTCATTATGAAGTTGTCTCTAGCCTTTCTTGTTCATCCTTTGAGTGTCCAAAGCCTGGTCCTACTTTAGAACAGTTAGCTAAGAGCCTGTCTTGTGCAGAACTCAGCTTTTTTGAGTTTGGTTGTGCTTTGTATTCTTTGAGGCTTCCCACATATTTTTCAGATAAGCTTTACCTCGTATATAATAATTAATAAAATTGCACGTGTGATAACAAAAAGACACACAAAAACCACATCATACCGAGAGAAGAAAAACATTGACTTAAACAACTGTCAATCTTTATTGATAATCTATTATTTTGGGCACCATGGCAGAGATAAGTTTTGAGGAAAGATCTGAAGAAAAGGGGAATAAGATCTTCATATGCTATTATTTTGTAAATTATTGGAAATCTTGTAAGTGAAATTAGGATTCTATTATGTAAGACCTTTTAAAAATCAATGGCACTGAAAATTATATATGTAAATTATTGGAAATCATGTAAGTGAAATTAGGATTCGATTATGTAAGACCTTTTAAAAATCAACGGCACTGAAGATTATGAGTCAGTTGCAAACCCATAAAAAGTCTCATTAAATTTTTGACTTACTAATCATTTATATAGATTATGACCAAACTCGCTAAACACATGCACTAAAAATAAGATTATCTTAAATGAAAAGGTCAGCCAAAATCACAATGAAATTATGTGATGAAATCCATATTTTTATATTGTTGATTCCTCAGGAGACATTTACAGAGAAAGATCCAGTACTTTTAGTGCTTAGCCTTATCTGAGCTTTCTCAAGATGAATGAACTGTTTATCTGGTTCACATACAGCACAGTGGTTTTGCCCAACAAATAAATGAATAATTTTCCTCTAATAATGCAGTATTAATACTAGTTTACCTCTTCAGGTAAAACTTAGACAAACAGATAGGACTTATATTGTTGTTTAACAGGCATTAGAGAAATAAGATGCACAAAGTTCGTCAATCCTAACATCTGCCACAGGATGAATTCTGGAAACAACTCTGTGTTTTCCAGCTAGTAATAGGACATGATGATAGCAGCAGCTCTCTTAAGTAGCCAGCATTTGTACCATTACAGAGCTTAAACATGACACCTGTAATTGTACCTGGAAGTCTTAAGTCAAGAATATACTTAACTGGTAAGATGTCATAAACATACAGGAAACTGTGCTGTGAACATTATGCCATCATTGATTTACTTGGTTAGCTGCGTTTTAATCTGGATTGCTGAGATTTTATTTTCCCTCTTGAAATCATGGACAGAAAGGATGTAAATAGCAATCTGATCTAATTTTGAGATCTGTCTATATTGATGAATTTTATGTTCACCTAACGACTTAGGTCTAACCAAGCTCCGAGATCCTTGTATTTTAAATACAAGTTGTTGGGGAAAAAAGGCCTTAAAATATTCTTCTACTCCTCAGTCACAAGAGTACTTTTGAATTCTGGGTGATCTGCTTAAGAGAAGAGGAGATAGTATTATGACAGGCTCTATGGCTCATGGAGGCCACATCTTCATTTTAAAATCAGGGGTAGCTGTAAGTTGTATAATAGATTCCTGGCATGTATGAAATGCACTGTCCAAATTCTACTTGATTTTGAGCTTAGTGTTAGCAATCAAAGTTAGCTTTTTTGTAACAGCAAACTCTTGAAAGCCTCTACTTCAGTTTCTGTTCCCATTATCTCACCAGGAAGGAAAGGACATCTTTAAAAGTACTTAAGTACCAAGTGAGTGACCCTTCTCTGTTGGAATGCCGCCCCACTAATGATGCAGAGAAGAAAAACAACCATTTCTGGCAGAGTTTGCAGGATCTCTCATGCCAAACAAAAAAAAAAGTATAAAATGGCTGGTAAAAATAAATATCACTATGAAATTCTGGTATGGGAGGCATTTTTAACAGCCAAGGCTTAGCTCATCCTGGGGGGTAACCAAAAAGGCCTGCAATTTTCATTCTTTATTTCTACTTATCAAATGTTCCTTGCAAACTTAAGCTGCCAGAGTCTGTTATCCATTAGACAAGGTGTTTGTGTGAGAAAATTATAGTAAGTAAAGGCTTTGTGTGTGCACAAGAGAGTAGGCAAATCTAAGTGGGAGTGCCTGTTGTGTCTGGGGATGAAATCAAGCAGTAACTCTGATGGCTATACTGCCCAGCTCTTATGAGAAATTTCGGTACATAATTTTCTGTATGCAGAGCAGAGATTTAGCACATGCAAAATGCTCTGAAAGTATTTTGTCTTATAACATATACGTGGAAATGCAAATGATGGAGTCAAGGGGGAAAAAACCAGAAGAAAGGATATCACAGATTCATTAAAACTGTGGAATTCTTCAAAACAATTATTAGTTCTGTTTGTTAGATACACAAAAGGGCTTTTGGAAGACAGCACTGTGGAACCCTGCTGCTTTGCAGGAGCTGCAGTCAGAATTTTTTTCAGTGAAAGAACACATCAGTATCCTGGTCATTCACTCCATAATAGAAGAGGACACAGTGATGAATGTTTTTTTTCTTTCTGCTACACAATACTCTAGGTGTTTTCAAGAGTAAGATCTTTGTGGATTCACTAGAAGTGAAGATAGAGACCAAAGATGATATAATGTTTGGAGTACTTAGGAAGAGAAGTTGAGGAGTAGAGGATGAGAGATGGAAAGGGTAGTATGCAAATAACTTACTGAGAAAGAAGATAAACCATATGAGACTGAAATACTAAATGAAGATTATGGCAATTAATTCTAAACTAGAGGGAACACGGAACATCTTTCAGAATGTAGTAGAAAATTAGGACCTAATTAAGTTTTGTCTGAGGAATATTTTTAAATTTTTCTTTGGATTTGTTAACTTTATCATTCTAGTTTCTATAGCACAGCAAAATAGATCAACCGTTCTGCGTTTGAACCTGATAATAGCTTGTTAGATAGTAAAAATATGTCCTTAAGGTTCTAACTTGATTTGTTAAATTTTAGACCGTGTTAGTGAAGGAAGAGTTGTTCCTTGAATACATAAAGTTTACATGTGGGTCACAGTTTCTCTCAAATTCTGTGACTAGAGCCCATTTCTGAAATTTCCTAAGCGTACTTAGTGTGCTTTAGGTTACATGAAACAGAAACAACAGAAACCTGTGGCCTCTGTGACAAGGTTTTCCCTGAGCATTAAAAGTGTTGGGTTTTGCTCGCTGAAGTCTCTGACAGAGTTTCCAGCAACTCTGCTGATCTAGCAAGAAGCATAAATGAAAATGCAACACACAAACCTTTAAACTCTTAGAATGCTAATGTTATGTTAATGTGTTAAGTATCCTAAAATCCCAAAATTGCAACGGTATGGACACAAGTATATGTGACTAGGAGGGAGGTTGGATGTGTGTGCATATGCATGGGTGACTCATGTGGAGGGGGTGTGCAACTCTGGATCTTGCTCCCACCTGTTCCTTTATTCAGGTCTCACCTAGTGCTGGTAAGGAGCAATTAATTTGTTCCCTCATTCACATTTATCAAGAGCTAACATGACAGAGGGAGGGGTGTTAAGAGGGATCTCTGATTCAGGCACCTGATAGGAAAGCACACAGTTGACGTCTTATCAGAAAGACTCAAGGGTTATATCTTGTGTATGCTGTGGTACTTGCCAAAACCATCATGCCAGTGAAGCGTTGGAAGTGAATCATCTTCAAGAAAGAAAACTATCTCTCTGTTTACATTTTTACATCTATAGTGGCAGGGCTTCTGCAAATAGGAAAGGTTTGTGAGCTGAGGGAAAGATACATTTATGTCTTTCGCATCTATTCCCATGACTACTTGCTTCTTTTACAGGCCCAATTCATGTATTCTAGGCTTTTAAGAAAGGAAAACTCAGCCCATCAGAGATATTCCACATACCAAGACATAAGGTCACCTTTCTTTCTGATTGCGTGATTGATTTTTACCACAAACTTCTTATCTGAGTACAGAGACTATTGATAGCAAATTACATTAATAACTGGGAGTCAAAGAAAGACACAGGTCTCCAGTTCTTTAGAAAAGAACTTCTCCGTGGGGTCAAAAATTAATTTAGGAGACACAACTTGCTACTTATCCATTTGAATGTGTTTGGAGAATAAAGGTCGTTAAGCTTCTGTCTTCAAACTGAATTCTTCTACTGCTGGCTTTTAAGAGAACGTTCTCCTTTTAAGCTCTTCCTCTTTTCTCTTCTTTTTTTCTGTGCCAGATAAGCTGTGCTGTTCTTAAGGCTAGCCCACCGGTTACTTTTGCAATGCAGACATTGTGCAAGGCCTGGATAATTGCCATTTCACTGCAGGGAGGAGTCTCATCAGTAATAAATGATGGTGTATTTGCATTATTTTTACACAGAGGATGTTAGGGAACCGGCAAAAGAAGGAGCAGAACCAGATTTCAAGAGACACAGGAAGAGCTACCGTCTCAAAGAAAACATGAAGAAAGGTTTTTTTTGTTGTTTGGGGGGGTTTTCTCCTATTTTGAGAGTTAATTTACTTAGGGTTTTGTTTCTTTTTTTTTCTTTTTTCCCCTAGAGCGGAAAGTTGAATGGCCTGGCAGGTTGGTTTCAGTCCCACCTTCCAGACACACACAAAAAAGGGGTGGGGTTAGATGAATCTCTACTTTGGCCATTACATTACAAAGGATCTTTTGCACGATTCTTTGTATCTCAGCTTCTGAATGTAGTCATTTAATGTAATCTCTAGTTTTACTGTTCTGCACTGCGAAGTAGAATTAATGGTGGTCCATGAGATGATCATAAAGTTTCCCAAAACAAATGTGCAATTGGAATGCTTAAAAAGCAACAGTTAAATGAAATGTGAAGAAAATCAAGTAACACATAAACTCTGACTTGCTAACATGAGTTTTATTTTGTTGTAAATGAAAACAATTGCGGAAACACTGCAGAAGATGGCAAATGAATTACTGTTTTCTTAAAAATAAATAAGCAGTAACTTGAGAAACGCTGTAAGGGACAATGGTGACGGTATTTGAATGTTTATGACATCCCTGAGCATATGTGGGTATACAGTAGTAGTGCTGCTACTTAGAAAACTTCAGGGAAGGCAACAAGGGAAAAAGTGATAACATAAAATATAAGTCGATGCTAATATTTCATTTAATGTATGTAACACAGAGACTATAATTTACAAACTAGGTCATCAGATGCAAAACTGTAGGACCCTCAACTCTTTGGAAAATTAAACTGTTTCTTTACAGGTCCAACAGTGAAGTTGGAGGCCCAACTGTCTCACTGCATCTTTCTATGTATGGGTAAAATCCTGAATTTAACTATTTGGTATTCCAAGCTACCACCTCTTTAGTTCACTGGTGATATGGCAGAGAGAACTGATGTGGGTAATGTACCAGTGGAATAATTATAGAAATTAAAAGGGCCACTGGAAAATCTCATAGTCAGAGAGCATGGAACCTGTGATTTTATTTTAAACTTAGAGAACTGTTGGGAACAATTTACTATTTTCCTGGCTTTTCTGTTTATTTAGTGGAACTTACTAGTAACACAGAATTTGATCAATCAGAGTGCAGAGTTTGAAATTATGTTTCTAGTTAGAATTTTCTGAATTATATCCATTGTGGAACTTAAGTTTGGGAGGAGTCCCAAAAGATCGCCTAGTCTAGCCTGCACTGCATCAAGACTAAATATATCAAGGCTAGTGCCAGCATGCTTATCAAACTTTGTTTTTAAAAAAATCCAGTGGAAGAGATTTCACAGTCGTCCTAGACAGTCTGCTCCAGTGTTGAAAAATGCTTAGCTGGAATGCTGATCAAAATCTTTTAAGCATTTCTTGCTGCAAATCAAGTTGACTCTTTCACGTCTTTCTACGGGAGCCATAGAGGATAGCTGATCGACACCTCTGTAATGAGCTTGTATGTGTCAGAAAGATGCATCTTGCTTGAAGCTTTTGTTTTCTTGACTAGGCGTACCTAATTCTTTCAGCTTTTTCTCCAAGGGTTTGATTCATAAACTTCTTATTATTATTTTCTTGCTTCTCTTCACCTGTGTTTATGTTTCTAAGGTGTTAATCCAGGACCAGACACATTATGCCACTTGGGGCTTCAGTACCACAAGAATTTAAGAAACCAAACAAATTGTCCTGTATATGACACACCTGTTAATGTGCTCCGGAATTAAACACATTTCTGGCACTGATACTGCACTATTGGTTTATATTGTTGGTTATCCGTACAACCCGAAGATCTGGTTTTGCCGTATTTCTGTCTAGTCCAGAATTCAACACAGTTTATTCATGTTTCATTCTTTTCCCAAGGATAAAATATTTTTCAGTACTGTTTTTTCCCTTGTTTGTTTTTGGACAACCTGTCCAATTCGTCAGTAGGATTTGGGGTTTTTGATCTCATCCTTTCTAGTGTTTGCATCCTTTTGCCATTATTTTGAGATTATCAGTTGTTATAGCACAGATTTTATAATCATAATAGTATATCATCTACGTTGGTAGTGAACACAGTATATAAAACAGAGCACAGGATATATCCCGAAATGTGTCTTTCTGATGTGCCTCTGCGTTTTGATGAGTCATGACTAATGACCACCACGGTTTTCTTCTATCAGATGCTTGCACACCTTCCCCTAGTTGTATTTAAAATGTCATTCTATGAAAGTGTCTTATGAGACGGTGCCAAAAGCTGTACAAGATGTATCATGTCTGTTGCCTTCTGTTTACTCAGTGAGCTTTACATTACTTAAAAAAGGGAACTTCATTTAGCACAAATGCATTTTGCCTGTTTTTCATGTGTGTTTTTCATTCTATTAAATGAATTCATTCTATCTCAAATATTTAAAACACAGTTATCCAAACCTTTCTGAACACAACAATTCAGCTATGCGATCATTCTCTTCTAGGTAACTTGAGGTGTGGAGAAGCATCTTCACAAGGAACAGCTCACTCAAATGCTTTAAAAATACTTTGATATGTAAGACTACAACCATTTTTCTCTTGTCTTTTTTTCTTTAAACCTCTTATTAAGATCTTTGTGGTTTTAGAATAGATAATATATATTTTCCCTAATAATCCTACCTCGTTGTGGTTCCTTTCTTTCTTCTTTTTTCAATGACACCATGTCCTTGGTTGTCTTTTTCCTGACATAAGATTACTATTTAAAATCACTCTGGAAATGATGCAAACTTTTAGTATTATTTCATGGCAGCTATTTTCTGCCATTGGGTTGGTTTATTTCTCTAATGTCTCTTTTTGGAGGGGGGAGAATTATGTCTCAAAATGTTTATTAGTATAATAATCTTTTTCCTGTTCCATTTATAACGATTGGTGGGGGTTTTTTTGCTTAGGCGTGTTGTCATGTAAATTAATTGTTAATTATATTTTAATTACTTCTTTCTCATCTGTTTTACAATACTTATATGTCACTTACTAGTGATCTATAAATTATTACAGGTTACTTCATAATGTTCCTCCCTCAAAGATGTGGGTAAGAGCAAGTACCTACCTCGTGCATGGGTTGAAGTGCATTCTGGTAGTCTTTCTGGAAGATGCTTGGTCAGGGAGTGGCAAGACCTAAACATATGGTTGAATTTTACCAGCATTATTTAACAACTCTTCTACTTTCACCATAAATATCCATTTTACACTGCATAAATCTGCAATTATTCCTCAAAGAATCAGGGCTATATTCAATCATAGTATTGTATCAACAGATAGGTAATTGAGAGGTTTATGATATAAATTTTCATCTGTTCAACTGAAACCTATTTAGGAGATTATCGTGAAAGACAATACTATATGCTTCTCTAACATTCACCAGGGGATTTCAAAATTATTAATGAGAGAAATATAATTTAGGGGAGTTGAGCTTAGAGAGGAAAGTGATTTGCCAAAATACAGCGCAAGATGCAGAGGACTGGTAAACACACTTTAAGAAACACAAGTGGGTAAAAACATTTGTTCCCTGGGGAGGGAAGACCTGAAGAGCTAACAAGTGAATTTATTTGCATTTAGGACAATATTTTTCAAGAGGCTTTTGTTTTAAACGCAAGGAAATACTAATCTCAACAGTTAGAAGACTGTTCCATGACCTAAGTATATAATTATTAGGAAGTTCTGGGCCCTGTGTCTGTGCTTTATCATGTTTAGTACTTCAGCATCTAAACTTCTTACAAGCTTCTGTGAGCCTGAAGTCAGAAGGGTTCCTCTGATTTATACTACCTGATGATCTAGCCTTAAATGCCCTGTATTTTAGGGAGATACAGTAAGGGTTTTGCATGCTAGACAGTCAGCCAGCCCCCAGTCAGTGTGAGGTTATTGTTTTCTCTCTCTTAACTTTAATCCACAGTTCTGTTCAATCATCTTAAACTCTTGTATCTTGGAGTTCATTCCTTTACAATAATTGCATATACTTTCCTAGCCTCAGTCTGTCACTGCTTCCAAGTCAGTGTTAGAAGAGAGAGGTTTTTTAATCTCTCCATCTCAGTCAGTCCCTCTTGACTACCTTGTATTTGTTATTACTCTTCTGCAACTTTGCACATTTTCCCTATCAAATACATAGAATTCAATGCCTTCGTCTACATGCTATTGCACTCTTGCTATGTAAAGTGGATCTATTCCTATCGTGATGCAGTCATTCTGCAAATAAAGCAAAAAATCTGCATTTTTAAAATTGTGGTGGCTATGTAGTGTAGATTTATACATGGTTTGCTGCTTACTGTTTCTTACCGTGTTCCTGCTCTTGGGAGTTCTCCTCCTCAGTGAAGCTGTGTTGGATTATTTTTTCTTTACATTGAGCACAATTTGTCAAGACTCAGTGCCTGTTTTAATTTTACATTGACATTTTTAATAATACCCCTTGTCTTCACCATTTTACACTTAATTAATAGGAGTGGCAGAATTCTCTCAATCACATGCTGTGCTGTTTACTTACTCTTGTGATTGTTTAAAGGATGGGATTAATTGCAGCTTCCTTGGATTCATCTTTGTGAAGGGTTTAAATAAGACCATTCCTATCCGTTGGCTCTTTGGTGTCAATTTGAAAAAATTCCCATCTTCCCCTGTGGTCCATGGTTTGGACTATCTGAGTCAGCTTTCTGTTCAAGTTAATACTTTGAAATCAACTGAGATTAATTATTTAACAACAGTTTCTTGCATTGTCAACCCTATGTATTAAAATGCCAAATTATGCCACAGAGGATCATAAAACTGGCTGTAAGGATGACGTACAGTGAAAGCCTGTCTGCTTTTTAATGCAGTACAGAGCAGAAGGCACATAAGCCAATTGTCCAAGTGTTAATTTCTACTCCAACAGGAAACGACCCTAGCTCTTTTTTTTTAGGGCATCCGAAATTCATACATAGTCAGCTGTCTTCGGACGCTGCGGCTATAAGGAAAACAGCAGAATGCTTGTCATGGACGGAGGGAAAAATCATACCTTTCTCTTCGGTAGCAACATGTACGTCGGGCAAAAGGCTCGCGAATGTTTCCCTTTCGAAGGGTGTTTGGCAAACGAGGATGGGACAGGGACAAGGGTTCTGCGATTTGTCTTGGGTATAGATAGCTGGCACAAGCCGGGAAGCGGTGGCAACGCGCGGGGACCGGATGATACCGGGCAGCTCTGCGGCGGGCAGCCGAGAGCCCTGAGCGATGCTCTTGGGCGGCGCTGCGGAAATTGGAACAGGGAGAGCCGGCACCGACAGTCTCGAGCAGCAGGGCCGCTTTAGTAAGGGCTTCCCTGCCGTCGGCAAGGGTGGAGCGGGTCCGGGGGCGCTGGGAGAGCCTAAAGGTCTCGCAGCAGTTGCCCGCGGCAGCTCTAGGGGGTGGCGAAGGGAGGTGTGTGCCTCGCTGCAAAGCCGCAGTCCCGGGATCGCCTTTGCCGCGCCGAAAGTTTGCGAAGTGCCTCGGCGCTGGGGGGAGCGGGGCGGGGGCTGCCCCAGCGGGGCTCCTCCTCCGGGGCCGGGCCTCGGCCGGGCGGAGCGGGGAACGAGCCCCTGGTCCCGGTGTTGCCGCAGCTGCGGAGGGAGTGAGGGGTGGTCGTGCCGGGTGCTCCGCGCAGGAGGAGCTCGCGACGTCGCTGCGGGCGGCCCAGGCGCGGGGCCGGGGCGCTGCCACCATGAGGCGGCGCGGCGGGGGTTGTCTCCTGCCCGCGCCTCCGCAGCTCCTGCTGGTGCTGCTGGGAGCGCTGCTACGCTCCAGAGGTAAGCGGCTGCCGCGGCACCCTCTGCCCCGCGGCAGCGCGGGGGGCCCAGCTGCCGTCCCGGGCTCGGTGGCGGGGATCCCCGCCCGGCCGAGCCGCTCACCTGCCCGCGCCGCCGGGCGGGGAGCCCTGCCCTGCCCTGCCCCGCCGCCGCGCTTTGTCCGCGCCCCGTCCCGCGCCCGGACGCGGCGCTCTCGCCTTGCCCGTGCCCCGGCTAGGCGGGCCGGAGCCGGCGGGGTCTCCTGGCAGGCCAGAGCGCGGGTCCCGGAGCGGCGCTGCCCTGGCCGGCGGACTCTCTCCCCAGCGAGAGTCCGCAGAGCCCACGCGGCCGCTGCCCCCCGCGGAAGTTTGGCGGCGGGCGCGGGCTTTGTTCCC